GTGTGTGTGTGTGTGTGTGTGTGTTTATGTACTTATCTTGGTGTGTGTGTACATATGTGTGTGTGTGTGTGTGTGTGTTTATGTACTTATCTTGGTGTGTGTGTACATATGTGTGTGTGTGTTTATGTACATATCTTGGTGTGTGTGTACATATGTGTGTGTGTGTGTGTGTGTTTATGTACATATCTTGGTGTGTGTGTACATATGTGTGTGTGTGTGCGTGTGTATGTGCATGTGTGTGTGTGTGTGTGTGTTTATGTTTATGTACTTATCTTGGTGTTTGTGTACATATGTGTGTGTGTGTGTGTACATATATATATGTGTGTGCGTGCATGTACATGTGTGTGTGTGTGTGTGTGTGTATGTTAGGGGTTGTATGAACTAGTCACTAGTCGACTTCACCGCTCTATAGTGACTTGTTATGCCTGTCATCGACTAGTCGCTGTCACGTGATAAGGACCGGCAATATGCAGTCCTGGGAAAAGACAGCAGCCTGCTGTCAGCAGGTGACAAGCTCCTGCGCGTCGGGAGGCAACGCGCTGTGCCAGAGCGTCGGTACTGACACCCGCCGTAAAACGGACATTTAACCAAATTGTGACCTTTACCCTCTTGCAATTTAACCTTCCCCTCACCCCCATCCTAACCTTAACCAGCGTGCGCATGCAAAGCTCTGATTGTTGACGCGCTCCAGACATCTGCGTCCTGAGCACGGCCACAGTAACATTATCAAATCAGGTGTTGCCACCTCAAAAACTAATTTAGCACGCGATCGTTCATGTCGGCTCATTTCCTTTTATGTTTTCTGTCTTTTATTTGTGCCTGATGCGTTTCGCTGCTGTGGATCGGGGCGCATCACCTGTTTTGTCCTCGGTGACGCACCTCACCGATGAGGCCGGTGAGCACTCCGCTGTTTTAGCGGTCGGTAGATCTTTTAGAACTGCAGTTCAAAGGTAACTCATGAGGTGAATATATATGAACCCAGGTAGCAGTTTCTCTTTAGGATTGAGAGGAGATGCAGGAAGATAATAAACAGGCAGGACAGAAAAATAGTCAAATAAAAACAAGTTAGTTTTTGTACCTGCTGGTTGCAACAAACAGACACCATTGAAGGTAATCAGAAGTGAGGAACAGAAAATGAAATAATTATTTTAATGTTTAGAGCAGCAGGAACTCCGAGAGGCTGCAGGCGCATCAGTGAGTTTGCTGCCGCTGCGCGGGGGTGGGGGGGGGGGGGGGGAAGAGGGCTGAAGCAGGGGGAGGGGGGGGAGGGCTGAAGCAGGGGGAGGGGGGAGAGGGCTGAAGCAGGGGGAGGGGGGAGAGGGCTGAAGCAGGGGGAGGGGGAGAGGGCTGATGCAGGGGGAGGGGGAGAGGGCTGATGCAGGGGGAGGGGGGAGAGGGCTGAAGCAGAAACTACCGTTGTTAAAAGAAATGTGTTTAACTTTGAAAATGTGGGCGCAATTTTAAATTTTAACTGTCAAAAACTCCAGCGAACCAACCGACCCCCCCCCGTCGCTTCAGGTGTATGACGTCATCAACGACTAGTCAAAGTTGACTCGATTTTCATTACTTGACTGTCGATTCTAAAAAAAATTAAGTCATGCAGCCCCTAGTGTTTATATGTGTGTAGGGTTGTCAAGGTATGAAAATTTAACCTCACGGTTATTGTGACCAAAATTATCACGGTTTTCGGTATTATCGCGGTATTTTTTAAACGGTGTTGCATATGTTCAGAAAGCATTGATAGTCCTGTTCTACACAAACTGAAATAGTTCTGAAAAGGTTTAACAATGTTTATTAAACCTAAAATAACACAAAGCCTTAGCAAAAGTGCAACTTTTCACAAGTAAAGGAACAAACAGCTTCTTTTTCTGGAACATGTTACAGTAGTCAGTGCAGGTTTAAATGATACAAATCCAAACATTCAAAACATAAACAATATGTAAACAAATCAAAGAAACACCACTTGTTTTCTCATATACTTGTTTTCTTCATTATCAAAATGAAAATCTAAAACTCCAGTCCACACTTGACTTGAGCACTGTACAAGTCAACCTTAAAAAATATGTATTTAAAATAAATATCCACTTTAAACAACTTACTAAAATAACTACTACACTATGTAATCAAATCCAAATGTTCAAGTATAAATGGCATTGAATAAGTAAACAAATCCATGACAAGGAACTAATTGTTTATTTCTCTTCATCATCAACAAATAAGATGCTTCATCCAGCAACAGGGTGTCCGTGACACGGTTTAAATGCTGCCAGAGGACGCTGCGGCTGCAGTATATAGTGACTCGTTGCATTCTCCCTCAACCAAAAGTCCTCGCGTCATGCATTTAAGCTAAAATGCTAATGCTAACTTACCTGATGGTCACGCAGATGTGCCATTAGATTTGAAGTGTTGCTGCCTTCTGCAGACACTTGTTTCCTGCACGTTCTGCAAACGGGATAGCCGTCTTCTATTAACTGTCCCTCAGCATTTTTCAGAAATCCAAAATATACCCATACTTCCGATTTAGTCTTCTTTGAGGGCTGATGGATGTCCTGGGCGCTGCCGTCGCCTCCTTTGGCCGTTATTTCAGCTTCAAAGTTTTGGTGCCGTTGCAAACTAAAAAGTGCGCGCCGCGGGAACGTCAGCTGAAGCGACGGTGGCTGGTAAGGGTCACCGCGCCGAAACCGCGGCCACGGTAAACCCACCGAGATAATATAGTTTTTTAAAAACTGGACGGTTATTTTTATTGTCAACCTTTTTACCGGGGTTTACCGCTATACCGGTTACCGTGACAACCCTATATGTGTGTGTGTTGCAAGCCAGTGTTGTACCATTTTGTGCTCCAGCAGATCCTGTGCCTCCAGGAAGGAGCCTAAAGCAAAGAATGCTGCCTTGCTTGAAGGGCTTCTAAGAACAAAAATTGCACCTTTAACTACTTTCTGACCTAAGTGGATGAGGAGTGTTGACCAGTAAGATATCTGGGGTTGTAGAGGATGTGCATGACTTGGTGGTATGTGCTCATTTGTTATGACCACAAGGGTTAGTTGGCATTGCTGAGTTCTGGTGGTCTCGGTGCATGTCGGTCCACAGGGAATAGATACAAGGAGAGGTGTTTAATTCCTGGAACTGCCTCAGATTTCCTAGCAGTGAGAACGTTTCTCTGTCTGTAAAAGTATCCTGTTAACTCTGAATCAGTACTGATGTACAGATGTCAGCACTGAAATGAAAGTTTTGGAGGGTGCAGTGATGCTTTAGGAGAAAAGCTGTAATAAAACGGAATCGTAGCTAATAACGTAATAACAACGTGTTTTATGTGGTTCTTGTGAAAGGTTGAAGCAAGTACAGAAATATGTTCTCATTCAGACGCCAAAGGCTGATGAAATGTTAGCGCTGACCACGGTGCTTCAACCGAGATAGCAAATAGTTTCTAAATGATGACAGGAGAGGAACTGGCAGGAGACCAGGCTACCAGCCAGGACTAAAGCAAAGAAACCCCCTTCTCACTTTGGTGCTTGCTCATTAGCGTCGGCACGGCCCCAAAAAGGATCCAACGGCACCGGAATTTGGTTTCACACACAGGTCAGATCTGCGTTTTCGGTGCCGAGGCCGCTGTTTTTCTCAGACCTTCTCCCCAGCGGTCAGACCGGGACCGAGGCGACACTACGGACTGATTGGCCGGCTGAAATGACGCCTACCGCCTCCGATCTGCGAGTAAACTTCTGTCTGTAGCACAGAGCTGTGTGTGTGTGTGTGTGTGTGTGTGTGTGGCACAAGATTACAAGGACACACAGCAAATTAATAAAATGATGTGGTTCAGAGTCTCAAAGCAACACAGCTCGTGTTCGCCTGTTGTTGACCTTATGGGGCGGACTTTCCTGCGCGTATTAAACTCCGCCCACAGGCATATAAATCCTGAGAAGTCCCTCGGATTTATATACCGCCCGTCTGAGACCGAACTCACGCCATCCAGCCCGACCAAGCCCGACCGTGCCGACACTAATGTGTAAGCCGTTAAGCCACGACAAAAGGACCCGACCACAGAAACGCTAAACGAAGAGCCCCAGTTGTTGTGAAGCTGCAGCGTGAGCTAACGGTGGAGAATCAGGGAGGAGGATTACTAGCCAGTTCTCTCAGGACTGCGTCTCCTCCAACGTTTCCCAGATAGTGCTGCACACAGAGCAGGTCCCTGGAGCCTCTGAGTCTGCTTACATGGGAATACTTTACCAGGTCCCTGAGGTCCAGTGACCAAAGCCTACTGGTTGTTCAGCACCAGGCTAAAGGTCAAAGGTGACAGATCATCTGTTGCTGTGGCCCCCAGACTCTGGACCTCTCTCCTCTGAGCCTGAGATCAGTGGACTCAGTGGTCTCCTTTAAGAGCAGCTGAAAACACCTTTGTAAGCTGGTTTTAGTCTGACCTTCATCACCCTCTCCTTGTTCTGCTCTCCACACCTTTCCCTAGTATGAGGATTGCTGTAAAGACTCTGACACGAGTCAGTGACTCGATGCGACCTGCTGGGTTCCTTAGATAGGAACCTTGTTACTGACTGGCTTCATGACCCGACCTGTGTTGTTTACTGTGTGCAGGTCCTTGAGACGACTCTGGTCCTGATGTGGTCTCTCTCTTCTCTCTCTCTCTCTCTCTCTCTCTCTCTCTCTCTCTCTCTCTCTCTCTCTCTCTCTCTCTCTCTCTCTCTCTCTCTCTCCCTCTCTCTCTCTCCTCTCTCTCCCTCTCTCCCTCTCTCTCTCTCTCTCTCTCCCTCTCTCCTCCCTCTCTCTCTCTCTCTCTCTCTCCCCTCTCTCTCTCTCTCTCTCTCTCTCTCTCTCTCTCTCTCTCTCTCTCTCTCTCTCTCTCTCTACATTTTTTAATCACAAGAGTCTATTTTGGCTCATTTAAATGTATTTTTAATAATTTTCTAAATGTGTTTTTATATTTAAAATGTTTGTTTTTGTGAAGCTCCTCGTGATTTTTATCTTGAGAGGCGCTTTAGAAAATATCGTTTCTTCTTCTTCTTCTATGCAACCTTTTCATATTTTTTAAACCATTGTCTTGAGCCTGCCTGTCCTAAAATGACCCTTTACAGGGTTGATGAAATGTCATCAGACCCTCTATGGCTAGAATATTGCACTTGCAACTTCAGAGTGGCAGGCTGTCACTGTTGGACTTAGAAGAAAATTGAGCTGACATACCTGGCGCTGCAGTCTGCCTCCAGCCCATCTCCTGCATGTTTTAGATCATGAACACAGCTGATTTGATTGTGCGGTGCTCTTCACGGCAGTGATGCGCCTCTTGCGCAGAGATGCGTGTGTGTGGCGCTGCGTCGGGAGGAGTTGGTCTGCTGGGGAGCAGACGTGGGCAGCGGGAGTGCGCACCAGCAGGTGAAGCGCATCGATACCCAGACAGTCTGCTAGTGAGGAGTAGGGATGCACGTTTACCAACGTTTCTTTAACCAGGGCTGTAGCGAAGCCTCGACGAAGTCGACGGCTCGATTCTAAAAATTTGTCGACGTCAGATCCGGAAGTCGACGCACCGCGCCCACTTGTTGCATCCCCAGGAGTTTGTAAATAGAGGAGGAATCTGCCTGTTTTTCCTCTAGTTCGCCCTCTTCTCCGCCTTCACTAACATCTCCGCCAAATACCGAAGACCCGGAACAACGTCCGTCTGCTACTAGATTATTTTCCTGTTTTTCCCGCCTTCGTCTCCCGGCAACGGACAACAACTTCCGGGGTCAAATGCGCTGCTTCGTGTCTACCGCAGATGTAGAAAATCACCGGGAGCGCTTCTCCCTTCATTAAGGAGCTTCTTTCAGACATTAGGAGAGCTGTTTTGGTGGAAGCAGTCTCTCCTCCGTGCTGGTCTGTTTGCTGCTGGGTGTTTTTGGTTTATTTAAACTTGGTAACTTGAACTTAATGTTGGTAAAGCTACTGTTAGCATCTTCGCTAACAGCTTCTTGCGTTGGGATAAGCTGTTACGTTTTGGTTTAGAGTTCATCTTTTTTGTGGTGTAGATCTCCCTTTTATTACATTTAGAGTGTTGTGGGTTTTCGGTTTAGTGTAAAATATCACCTGAGTTTGGTTTAACCCGTAACACCACTCGCCTCACGCACATAAGTGACCAAAACAAAGCAGCATGGAGACACTCCATCTTCTACCACCTCTCAGGCAGCAGCCTGCACTCCCAAGTTCTACACGTCACCAGAACATAACCAACCAACACAATAAACGCAGTGTTATACAAAATGGAAGGCCTGTAGTGTTTATTCTCTTACAGTAAGAATTTATCAATTTTTTTGAGGAATTTATTTGAGATTTTCTGGTTTTTGTTAATTGTGCAATAGAAAAATAATCATTAGATTAATTTTCTAAATAGTCATTAGAATAGTCGACTATTTGATAAAATAATCATCAGAATAATCGTTTTAAAAATAATCGTTTACCCCCAGCCCTATCTTTAACCAGGTATTGACGCCCCTTAACGGTTAATAGCAGGTTAACTGGAAACCAACCCCATCCCCCGACGCACACCAACATTTGCCCCCTCTGTAAATAACACTTTTCTCGTCTACTCTTGTAAAAATAATTCTGACGCACAACTAAAGTCCCACACTCGTCACACTTATGAACCAGAAGTAAAGCGAGAGGGACGACAGACTCAGAAGGTGTTGGTCAGCGGACCGTCTGGCATCAGTTACACAGCACCGCTTGTGATTGCACAATTATAAGCACATTCTGGAGGCCACGGTTAAAAAAACAATTTTCTTACGTTGAACTAAATAATTACACGGACATCATGGCACACTGACCTGTTGCTGGTGTAACGAACTGGGGGTTTAATTACGACCAATCAGATGTGATGATTCTATATAAATATAGAACATCAAGCTGACTGATCTTTGAATGTTTAACCAGAAGAATTTAGGATTCTTGTCTGTCAGTGTTCCCCAGGGCAGCTGTGGCTACATCGTAGCTCATCACCTTGAGTGTGTGAACGGATGAATGATACACTGAGAGTGCGGGTCGGGTCATTATCATTTGTTCAGGGACCATAAACACACTTCGTATTGATTCAGACAGAGTCGAGTATGTAATTAAAAATAGACGGAGTGTGTGCCGCGCTGCCCGGCTGCACCAGTGACGAGCGTTACTGTGGCCGTGTGCAGAACGCAGCTGGAGTTCATGGATAATCAGCGGTCTGCCTGCCGCTCTGCATCTCTGCTCTAAAGAACCCCCGCTACGCTGAGTCCATATAAATAATATAATACAGGTAGAAACTGGGTCTCTGTGCTCCTCCTGGGTGTGTAAGTTAAGGGCATCAGGGGAGCTTGATAACCTTTAAGGGGAACCAAGTTGCTCTCCTGTAATTTGAACCCAGTATCTGAGTCCGGATCGGGGCTTGGATCGGGAAGTAAAGCCCGAGTCCCGATCAGTCTGAAACCACGTGATCAGGGCCGATTTCCGATCATGTGATGGGATCGGGACATCCTAGTTTGGTGTGACTAGAAAGTTGACCAAGAGTCTCTGACAAATAACTCTTAGGAGGCAGACATCATGGCAGACTGGCATGTTGCTGGTCTCGGCTCACTTTGCTGCATAGCTTCATTTCCGAGTTCTGTCAGGCTACGCGCTCCGACGTGGGGCTCATTCTGTTCACCGAGAACAAAAGCTCCCACGCTGCGCTCGTTCTTGACCACTACATCTGCATTCACAGTAAATGGATTTGATTCATGTCCGTGACGAACTCACCTCTTCTTCTGTGGTCTTTTGAGTCAACAGCACTCTTGTGCCCTCCAGTGGCATAGAATATATTGCAGCATTTGCTGGCATAGACATGAATACATAGACGTCCCATTGGGCGCTGGAGAGCGTAACAGCGTTGCCACCATCTTGGCTGGGTCTACCCTCTCTCCAAACCCAACTGGAGTCAGCGCAGAGGGAGTAACTATGCCCAGTGTACTGTTGAAAACGGATCATGTGGGACTTTTCTAGCCCACATGTTGGAATTTTATATTTTAAGGGAGAGTTAACGGTTAACCGAGTATTAACTGTTTAATTGCTACAATAACCAGTTAAACAAATGTTGGAAAACGTGCATCCCTAAAAGTCCGTTTATTTGATTAGAGGCCATAGAAACGTAAAATATCAGAACCTGGCACTGATGCCACCTGAGACTCCTGCTCACCCCCACCTAGGGTTGTCACGGTAACCAGTGTAGCGGTAAACCCCGGTAAAAAAGTTGACAATAATAATAACCGTCTTGTTTTTTTTAAAACTATTTCATCTCGGTGGATTACCGTGGCTGCGGTGTAGGCGCGGTGACCCTTACCAGCCACCGTATCATCTGCTGAAGTTGCCGGCGGCACATGCGCACTTTGTTGTTTACAACCAAAACTTTCTTGAAGCTAAAGCTGAAATAATGGCCAAAGGAGGAGACGGCAGCGCTCAGGACATTTATTATCCCTCAAAGAAGACAAAGTGGGAAGTACGGGCATGTTTTGGATATGTGAAGAATGCCGAGGGACAGCTGATAGAAGACGGCTATCCTGTTTGCAGCACGTGCAGAAAAAGTGTCTGTGAAAGGCAGCAACGCTTCAATCTCAGGACACATCTGCGTGACCATCACCCACAACTCTACAGTCAACGCAAGGCAAGCTAACGTTAGCACTTTAGCTAAAATGCGTGATCCGAGGATTTGGGTTGAGGGAGAATGCAACGAGTCGCTATATAAAGCAGCCGCAGCGCCGCTACCTGCATATAAACCGTGTCGCGGACACCGCCATGTTGAAATGACGCTATGCATTACGGGGCTCCCAGGGGCAGATAAGAGTTGGTCTCTCTCCGAGAATAATTATGAATTTAACAACGATTACTGCCTGATGACATTTTCCCACATCTGCAAAGCTCACTGGAAGGACACAAACCGAGGACGATATTTTCCTGATATAGGGTTTATTACTCAAGTAAGGGTAAAAAAGTATCTGATTAGAAGGCTACTTGAGTACTGAGTATCATCTGATCTAATATTGTTAAAATGGTGACACCAAACAGACATAAAATAAGAAGTTATGGGCAAATATTGGTATTTTAAAGACTAAAGGGGAAAAATGTAAACAAATAAACAACATAAATACAAAATAACACATTTTAGGCAACATTTAGACACAAACTGAGGACAATATTTCCTGATATACAGGGTTTATTTAGTTGTCTGAAAATGTAACACGTTTAAAAAAATACCGCAACAATACCAAAAACCGTGGTAATTTAGGTCACAATAACCGTGAGGTTACATTTTCACACCGTGATGACCCTACCCCCACCCCTAATGTCCACAGAGGAGGCGGACCCCTCCTGCTCTCCAGCGCTGCTTCACGAGGAACTCTGACTCAGGTCGTCCTTTTGTTTCCTCTGAAGCAGAAAACCCAGAGAAGTTTCAGCCAACTAGTCCCAACTGTCCCTCCAGGTAAAAACATAAAACCTAGAGGTTAGGTCTTCTGCTCCCCAGACCATCTGAAGCTCCAGCTGACGCCAGCAGCAGGAGTCTGAGCTCCAGACCAGAGCAGGAGCTTTCACACGGATGGTTTCAGTATCGTGACATCACCGTGTGAGGTTAGCAGGCCTGACTGCCCACACTGGTTGTAAACCAAAGCCTGATGCAGGTGGATGCTCACCTGCTGAGTCACATGGTGCTGAGCGTCTTTTGTGTGTGAAAAATGTGTTAAAACTAAAAGTCGCTCAGAAACGGATCAACGTAACGCTAACAAGAACATCCGTCTGCTTTAAAGCTGAATGGAAAAGGTCGAGCCTTAAATGTTTATGTAGTCACTGGTTCTTGCACAACCTCTGGCTGGAGTTGGAGCGTTTGTGTGAGCGAGGCCTGCCGGTGTGAAATACCGCGTCTGCACGCTAAAGTAAACAGATTCATCAGCAAACAGATAACCAGTCATGGACTAGTTAGAAAAGTCTGGATCAGGAACGCCGCCAGGCTGCGTTTGGGATCCGTTCCATTGTCAGTCACGTCCACGTGGGCTGCTTGTAGAAACGCATTTATTCACATGTAGGTCTAAAACACCAGCAGGTGCTGAACATCAGAAGAGACGGTCGCTTGCTGTTCTTTATATTTCATTAGAAAATGAAGGGAGTTACTGTGGTCTAAGTGTCTCTATTCTCACCTAAACACAACACAACTGTAAAGATAAGGCCAGCCTGGTTGTCCTGTCTCTGTGAGAGTCGTGTTATCACACAACAACACGTCAGATGAAGGCAGCCTGCTGGCATTCCTCTGAGAGTAAAAATACTCCAGGAACCGCTGCACTTAACGTATCGCAGCCAGAGACGCACAAACCTGCCAATCTGGAGGCCAAGTTTAAACAAAACATGCAGCGCCGCAGCCAATGGGAGTGCACGTTCAGAGCCGGTGGAGGAATGTGGAAAGTTCAACGATAAGGACGGCAGAGAAAGGAGAGCAGACGAATCAGCGAGGTTAAGATTACACAGATCAACCCAAGCTGGGATGACTTTCCTGAATGGAGTTCATCATTCATTCTTTTTGTTATTATTTAGAGCCGGTAGTGTGCCGTGTACCGAAAAATCCCCACAGCAACAAGCTTTATCTGCACAATCAAACCTCGCCCCACGTTCACTCACAAATAGAGAGGCTGCTTCCTCTCTCAGCTCCGAGGAAAACCATGAAAACCATTTTTCTAGAGTTCGATTCTGAGAACACATCAGGTAGAAACACTAGAGCATGATCACAAGTAAAAGACACAGAATACACCAAATATGAGCACCTCAAATTAAAGTCTGGTTCCCATGGAAACGGTGTAATATTTGTTCTGTTGGTCTGAAGAGCTGTGCTGCTGTTAGCCAATCAGAAGTGACCGTTCCATTTTTTTGACAGTGGATTACTAACGCACACTAGATGGTGCCAACAGTAGGGCTGGGGGTAAACGATTATTTTTAAAACGATTATTCTGACGATTATTTTATCGAATAGTCGACTATTCTAATGACTATTTAGAAAATTAATCTAATGATTATTTTTCTATTGCACAATTAACAAAAACCAGAAAATCTCAAATAAATTCCTCAAAAAAATTGATAAATTCTTACTGTAAGAGAATAAACACTACAGGCCTTCCATTTTGTATAACACTGCGTTTATTGTGTTGGTTGGTTATGTTCTGGTGACGTGTAGAACTTGGGAGTGCAGGCTGCTGCCTGAGAGGTGGTAGAAGATGGAGTGTCTCCATGCTGCTTTGTTTTGGTCACTTATGTGCGTGAGGCGAGTGGTGTTACGGGTTAAACCAAACTCAAGGTGATATTTTACACTAAACCGAAAACCCACAACACTCTAAATGTAATGAAAGGGAGTTCTACACCACAAAAAAGATGAACTCTAAACCAAAACGTAACAGCTTATCCCAACGCAAGAAGCTGTTAGCGAAGACGCTAACAGTAGCTTTACCAACGTTAAGTTCAAGTTAACAAGTTTAAATAAACCAAAAACACCCAGCAGCAAACAGACCAGCACGGAGGAGAGACTGCTACCACCAAAACAGCTCTCCTCATGTCTGAAAGAAGCTCCTTTATGAAGGGAGAAACGCTCCCGGTGATTTTCTACATCTGCGGTAGAGACGAAGCAGCGCATCTGACCCCGGAAGTTGTTGTCCGTTGCCGGGAGACGAAGGCGGGCAAAACAGGAAAGGAATCTAGTAGTGGACGGACGTTGTTCCGGGTCTTCGGTATTTGGCGGAGATGTTAGTGAAGGCGGAGAAGAGGGCGAACTAGAGGAAAAACAGGCAGATTCCTCCTCTATTTACAAACTCCTGGGGATGCAACAAGTGGGCGTGGTGCGTCGACTTCCGGATCTGACCTCGACAAATTTTTAGAATCGAGCCGTCGACTTCGTCGAGGCTTCGCTACAGCCCTAGCCAACAGTAGGCCCAAACTGCAGTTTTCCTTGAATTATTATTATTTTTATCTCTACAAATACATATAATACTGGACACTTGACTGTCTGTTGACCTCTGACATTGCTGTGGACACATGGAGGCTTAGGACATCGTTAGAGACACACAATACGATAGACTCATACAGTGATGCGAGATGGTAAAAAAATTAAAGGAACAGTGTGTATGTAGATTAACTGAATGGTGAGGTAAAAAATTGTGTAAATGAATGTGAAGAACAGTAATGTGAAATTATAAAAATCACAAAATTGTATATCAGAAAAATGAATTTGATTGTAAAAATTAAAAAAAAGGCGTAAAAGTTTGATATACAAAAAACTTGAATTAATCTAAGCGGTTGTAACAGCTCTTTGCTGATATAAAACATGTCACATCATCAATGCCAGCCAAGTCCGTTCATAAACGTAACATGGACTAGGACATAATTACATGTAGGTAGGCAGCCACGCATTCACCCAGAACCTGCATAACTGGAGTCAGATCGCAACTCAACCCACCCAAGCCCCCCACCCCCGTACGGTTGGAGGTGTATACGCTGCTCTAGGGCTGGTATCACCATAACGTTTGCGTAACCCTTGTGAGGTTTGACTTGATTTCTGTGGACCCACTTGTACACGAGATCTTTTTGACCTTTGGTGATGTTGATCTGATACACGACAGGTGAGAGTTTATCAGCGATTAGGTACGGTTCTGACCACTTTGGTAGAAGCTTCTTAGCCAGTCTCCCAGTGGTGACCTTCGTCTCAACAGTCTGACTGGACTGTGAGCAAAGTTGTAGAATCAGGCCTTAGCCTCCATGTGAAGTTCAGCATGTGAGGCCTTCTGATCATAAGCCCTCCTGCCCTCAGCTGGTTTCCCCAGATCCATCTCTGCAAACGAAAATGCTGCAAGCAGATGGTCCTTCAAGTTTTCCAAGTACTGATCGTTAGTGCAAGCCAGAGCAGCACTGGTCTCAACTGACTGATAGAGCAGGTGGAGCAGCAAGGTCATCTGTCTACCCGTCATGATCTCAAACAGGGAGGTGCCCGTAGACTCATGAGGACTGGCTCGAATAGCTACCAGGACCAACGGAAGCTTCCCATCCCCGTCTCTGTGAGTACCTTGCCCCTGCTGGATTTAGTCAGGGGCCCCACCCAATCAAATTGCAGGTCAGACAACGCTGAAGACGGTCCCCTGCTCTGAAGAGGAGCTCTGTGGATGGGATTTGAGGGCTGAAATTGACAACAAACCAAACAGCTCTGGATGTAGTCCGAGATGTCTCTACGCATCCCTGGCCAGGAAGCAACCTGGCTCTGGGCTCCAAACGTGGCTTGGACCCCTTTGTGTCCAGCTGAGGGAGAGTCATGTACTTACGCGATCATACCTCCCTTAGGGATGGAGGCGCCACAAGAACAGGCAATGATGGAGGCTTAGAAACGTGCATAAGCACCCCTTAACCATTCTCAGTGTGACTTGAACACGAACGACAGCACGGAGCTCAGGAACTGAACCAAGCTTGGCAGAAGAAGGTAGATGGGCTGCAGGATCAGAAAAGTACAGGATCATCCTGCTGACTGCAGGTCCTGAGACTGGAGACTGACCAGGTCGTGGTCAGAAAAGACCGGGAAGTTACCAAGGCATCGAACGCCATGAAAAGGTCTCTGTTTAACGGGCTTTGGGTTGGAAGTCAAGAACCCTTTACTCTTCCAAGAGGGCAGATGGCAGGTGAAACTGAGCCGAGCGTAGTCCGAGTCAGTGCAGATCACCAGCTTGTGTACACCATCATCGGCTGCATGTTGTAGGACTATTAGGATCCCGGCCACCTCTGCAAACTGGGAGGTCTGAGGGCCCAAATGGTAGCACCAAGAGTCTTTCTGGTCAGCGCTCAGCCAAACAACACCTGTGACCGAACTCAGTTCAGCACCTTGTCGAAAGGAGCTGCCTCAACGTACACTGTTGGCATGCCCTCACAGAGAGCTAGGTCAAAGTAGTGATGATTGGGGTTCAGCAGGGTCTGGGGAGGGTTAGCTGGTAGGACTGATGCAGAAGTGTTGTACAAGCAGTGCCGCAGCCAGACCCATGCCAAGAGGGCTACGGCGGTTCTGAGCATAGCGCACCTCGATATCAAAGCTCTGAAGAGCTAACAGCCATGACACAATGTGTGCATTGGTCATCACACCATCTCTGATGTGTTGACTATTCAAGAAGGTCACAGGCTGATGTTGAGTTTCAACAATGATTTTCTGTCCACTGATGTAGTTGGAGAAGAGTTTACCTGCCCACATGGTGGCCAGCAAAGCTTTTTCACAGTCAGAGTAATTTACCTCAGCACTGGACAAGATCTTGCTTTTGTAGCATCACCAGCTTTGTCCAGCTGGAACCCTCCGTGAGAACTGTAAGGAAGCATCATCTCAGCCCTGAAGTGGCTGCTGGTTTTCTCGAAGGTTTTAGAAAGATCCCTCCCCCTCCGGTACCTGCCTCTTGTGATTTTACTGTCAGTGATTTTAACAGTAGACTGAAATCCGCTCTCGACCTGCTCGCTCCACTTAAAATCATAATCTATATTCAAAGTGTGCTTCACCGTGGAGAAATGAAAATCTAAAGAAACTAAAGAGAAACTGCAGCGTTGCAGAGCGGAGATGGAGAAAGAGTAAAACAACTATAAATCATCAAATATATACAGAGCTACTTAAATCATATGAAAACGCTGTGAGAAATTCAAGAAACACACCTTTCCAAACTCACTCTAGACAACAAACACCATCTTTGTTCCCTCCTCTCCATGATTGATGTCAAGTTGTTGTTGTTGTTGTTGTTATTGTTGTCGTTAGCCTCAAGGGCAACATGCCGATTATCACTTGTAAGTGGCTTTGGACAAACGTGTCTGCTAAATACATAAACACAAACAACATAAACATAAATAAAGCTTCTTACAGCCAAACTGATGTGATGGAGCAGATTAGTCCCAGCCCAGCTTCTCTGCTCCAGAACCAACGCCTCGCATGAGCAGTCGTTGGTTCTGGAGCCAAAAACGAGCCTTCAGGCTGAGCTGGCATCCCAGGAATGTGCTGGGAGTCCAGCTCCAACTAATGTTTCTAGCTCCAGCAGGCAAACATCTAGGCTCCAACTGTTAACAGCACAGTTATCTCACACACACACACACACACACACACACACACACACACACACGCACGCACGCACGCACGCACGCACGCACACACACACACACACACACACACACGCACACGCACACACACACACTTCTGTCTTTCTATCAGAGTGAGGACCCTCCATTGACTTCAAACCAGTTTTGTGGTTTCACCATGCCTAACCATAAACATAACTAACACTGATCTATTCCTAACTAAAACTTATTTCACACCATACCTCTAACTGGTAGAGTAAGCTTCTGGTATGCTTCTAAAATAAAGTGAGGACCCAAAAATGTCCTCACTTTGAAAAAGCTGAACTCTTCTTTCTGCCTGTTCATCACGGCACATTCACATGGGAAGCCTAAGCCACGCCTACTTCCAGACCATGGGTCCCCTACAGTGAAAAAGAATGGGAGTCTGAGCCGTTGAAGGTTATTTCTGATCCCATTTGATATGTACCATGGATTTCACATATGATGTCTGTAAATTTTACAGACAATCCAATTCAAGTTTATTTATATAGCACCAAATCACGACGAGTACTTCACACAGTGATGATGGAGTCCGTCGAACTTATGCTGACATTTATTGGTTGGTAACAAGATGGCGCCTGTGCTTGGCTTAGCCGCGGTCACCGGCCACTTTTTCAAACTTTTCTCCACTAACCTCCTCTTTTCCACCTTGCTCCTGTCTGCGATCCTCTTCAGTAGTGTCCCTGCTACCATCTCCAATGATCGCAACACTCTTTTGTCCTTCCGTTCGTTCACGATCGCCCAACATGCACCGAGGACGTACCTTCCTGTTTGTTTACCTGAGCGGCACACCGGCCCGGAACCAGTCGACGGTCCCGAGCTGCCAGCCTCCGACTATGTTTGTCCGGTCCCGGGAAAACGTTGGAGGAAAAGAGGTAAACGAGCAGGAATCCAGGTGAGAATAAGACTTCTCTTAAAGCGTGGTTTATCTGGTAAACATCGGCGTGATCTTCTAGCTTCTCTTCCTTTGTTTGGTGACCTGAGCGCCACTTCCGCATTCCTGCCAGGCCATTTCTCCGTCCAAGTATTTTAAGGTCGGTTTATCCTCGTTCCTCAGTGGTTTCTCCTCCTGTTCCCTCTATAAGTGGTTTTTATAAACACCATGGATCTAACCCTGCTAATTTATGTCCACTAACTCCAGCTGTTTCTGTAGTTTCTGATTCCTCCACCTCACTCAGTATGGCTCTATTAAATACCCGCTCTGTTAACAATAAGTCCTTCCTGCTCAATTATCTAATTCTGTCTAAAAACCTGGATTTTCTGTTTCTGACTGAAGTTTGGCAGCAAACATCTGATTATTCTGCTCTGATTGAACTCTGCCCGAGTGGTTATTCTTTTCTTAGCCAGCCCCGGGGTTCTGGTCGTGGTGGAGGCCTAGCTGTTGTTTTCAGAGACCATCTTCCATGTAGCTCTACAACCTCTGGTCACGTTGCTTCCTTTGAACTGCAGCTGATTAAAGTCGGGCGTAAGGACCCGTTCTACTGTGCTGTGGTCTATCGTCCACCTGGTCCAAACAGCTCTTTCCTTCAGGAGTTTAGTGACTTTCTATCCTCCACTGTGAAGCTGTCCAGACTGGTGATTGTTGGTGACTTTAACATCCACGTTGATGATCCCTCTGATCACTTTGCCATGAATTTCTCCAGCCTTATGGACTCCTTCAGCTTTACCCAGCATGTTTCTGGCCCCACACACACCAGGGGGCACACTCTAGACCTTGTTTTTACCCTGAGTATAAATGCTGACAGTGTTTGTCCTGAGGACGTTTATACTTCAGATCACCATTGCATTTTCTTTAACTCTTCAGTTTCTGCGTCCCCACCTCCTGCTCGCCGTATGGTTAGTTCTCGTTTTCTTAATGAGAGCACAGCTAGCAATGTTTCTGCTGCTTCTGATCCACCCTGTTCTTCTGATAACGACCCAGATTCCTTAACTTCTCAGTTTAACGAGCACTGCCTCTCCATTCTGGACAACATCTGTCCTGTCAGAACCAGATCAGTTCCTGCAGTGAACCCTACTCCCTGGTTTAATGACAGCCTTCGCAGCCTGAAGCACCAATGCAGAAAATCTGAGCGTTTGTGGAAGAAAACCCATCTCCACGTCCATCTGCTGCACCTAAAGGATCTTCTGACATCCTTTAACTCTGCAGTCAGAGACGCCAGGGTTTCCTATTTCTCCAACCTGGTGTCCCAGAGCAAAGGGAACCCCAAGGTGCTGTTTAACACCATCAGCAGCATCGTCTCTCCTGCCTCTCCTACAGCCTCCATCCACTCTGTTACAGACTGTGAGAACTTTCTGTCTTTCTTTGTGGACAAAGTCAATAAGGTTAGATCTAGCATCTCTCCTTCAGCCTTATCGCTGCCTCTGCCGACTCCAACCAGGCCCATCATCCTAGACAGCTTTGCTCCTGTTTCTTTGCCTGAGTTAACACACCTGCTTAGACTCTATCAAAACCTGGATGGTGGGAGCTTTCTTCAGCTGAATGAAGATCAGACTGAGATCCTCATCTGTGCCCCAGACAAGCTGGTTCCCAAAGTCAGAGACTCTCTTGGTCAGCTTGCTTCTCACACCAAACCTTCTGTCAGGAATCTTGGCGTGACCTTTGACCCAGCTCTCACCCTGGATTCTCATGTCAGTTCTCTTGTTGGCTCTTCCTTCTTCCATCTCAGGAACGTTGCTAAGCTGAGTCCCATTCTGTCCCGCTCTGAACTTGAGACAGTTCTCCACACCTTCATCTCCTCACGCTTAGACTACTGTAACTCTCTTTTCACGTGTCTGAGCAGAACCTCCCTGAACCGTCTACAGGTGGTTCAGAACGCCTGTGCTCGGCTTCTGACCAAGTCCTCCAAACACACCCACATCACCCCGCTTCTCCTCCAGCTTCACTGGCTGCCAGTCAACTTCAGGGTTCATTTCAAGATCCTGGTTCTGGTCTATAGGGCCTTACATGGACAAGCACCATCTTACATTGGTGATCTTCTTAGTCCCTACACCCCCAGCAGGTCCCTGAGGTCCAGTGATCAAAGCCTACTGGTTGTGCAGCACCAGGCTAAAGGTCAAAGGTGACAGATCACCTGCTGCTGTGGCCCCCAGACTCTGGACCTCTCTCCCCCTGAGCCTGAGATCAGTGGACTCAGTGGTCTCCTTTAAAAAGCAGCTGAAGACTCACTTGTTCAAGCTGGCTTTTGTATGACCTTCTTCACCTCTCTCTCTTTATTCTGCTCTCCCCACCTATCCCACCTTCCTCAGGATCCACTGGTTTCCCTCTTTCCTGTTCACTCTCTCTCTTTCTTTACATTTTAATCACAATTGTCTGTTTTTGCTCATTTTAAATATATTTTTAAACATTTTCTAAATTCTTTTTTAAATTTTTACATTTTTTGTTTTTGTGAAGCGCCTCGTGATTTTTATCTTGAGAGGCGCTTTAGAAATGATATTTTTTTCTTCTTTCTTCTTCTTTCTTCTTTCTTCTTCTTCTTCTTCTTCTTCTTCTTCAGGTAGAGAGTTCCACAGCTTTGGGGCAGCATGTACTAATCCTCGTTCACCCCGTGATTTGTAACGCCTCCGGTGAGTGCAAAGCAGCAGGAGGTCAGCCGACCTCAATGTGCACGTGGGTACATATGGAGTGAGCAGGTCAGAGAGATAGGGAATTGCCAGGTCATTGAGTGCTTTAAAGACAAAAGTCAGTAGCTTCCAGGACAGGGGTAATATGGCTACATCGGTGCATGTTTGTCAAGAACCTGGCAGCAGCGTTCTGGACTACCTGCAGCCGATTCAGGGCAGAGACCGGAGTGCCAACTAGGAGGGCATTTGTATAGTCCAGGCGAGAGGTAATGAAAGCATGGATGACTGACTCCAAATGCCTCCGCTTCAAGATTGGTCTAAGGCGAGTAAGGCGGCAAAGCTGGTAAGAGCAAGCCCTCATGACTGAGTTAATCTGTGGGGCCATTGAGAGTTCAGCATCTAGCTTTACCCTGAGCCTTGTCACGTACTGTTTAGGGTTGAAGGTTAAAAGGTCACAAACAGAGTGAGAGCCATGGTGATTGCGGGGGTCTAAACTATAGACTCAGTCGTCCTTTCATTTAACTAAGAAACTGGATGCCAGCCAGCCCTTCACAGTATATTTCCACGACATTTGCCTCATTTAGAAACACATGAAACCAACATCATGCCCTGCTGATTTCATTCCTACTATCTTGTTAGTCAGGATGTTTGACCAAATGGGCCCATGCATTGTAGATTTTATAAATGTATCTCTACAATCTGGCTCTGTACCATCTGTTTTCAAACATGCAGTTATTGAACCCATCCTTAAACCCAGTCTGGACTCATCTCAGCCTAAAAACTACAGACCCATTTCTAAATGACCCTTTATCTCTAAAACATTGGGAAAGGTTGTGGCAGATCAGCTGATGACTTTTCTGGAACTACACAACAGCTTTGATCATTCCAACCTGGTTTTGGTAAAAAGCGTTCAACAGAAACAGCTTTGCTTCAAGTTTCCAGTGACATCATGATGGCTGCAGACAACAGGGAGTTTACAGTGTTAGTATTGTTAGATCTTCTGCAGCTTCTGACTCTGTTGATCACAGCACCTTCATTAACAGACTTGGTGACTCGGTGGGGATCTCTGGAACTGGTCTAGACTGGTTTAGATCGTACCTTTCTAACAGAAGTTACAGGTTCTGTAGAAACCAAATCATGTCAGATTCTACCCATCTGTTCTGTGGGGAACCCCAAGGCTCTGTTTTGGGTCCACTGTTGTTTCTGCTGTACACACACCCTCTTGGACAGATAATTGATTCTTTTCATAATGTCTCTTATCACCTATATGCAGATGATATTCAGCTGTTCTGCTCTTTTAAGGATTCTGAGTTCTATAAACTGAATGACTAGAGTGTCTATCAGCGATCTCCAGCTGGCTAGAAGATAACTTCCTTCTGTTAAACTCTGAAAAGACTGAATGTCTGATCGTTGCCCCTGAGAGCACGGTTCCCCTGATTAGTCAAAAACTTGGTCATTTATCTTCTGCCATCATGACAATCTTAAGGAATTTGGGTGTTTTTGACCAATCAATGTCCAATGACCAATTGGGCTGCATGGTGGCGCAGTGGTTAGCACTGTTGCCTCGCAGCACGAAGGTTGCAGGTTCGAAACTCGGCTCGGCCTTTCTGCGTGGAGTTGCGTGTTCTCCCCATGCATGCGTGGGATTTCTCCGGGTACTCCGGTTTCCCCCACAGATCACAACATGTCCTATAGGTTATAAACTGTTAGTCGCTTTGGATAAAAGCGTCTGCTAAATAAATAAACATAAACATCAATGTCTCTTGAAGGCCACTCAGAAACATTGGTCCGCAACAGTTTTTATCACTTAAGAAATATCTCCAAACTGCGAAGGTTGGTGTCAAAACATGAACTTTAAATGGATCTTCATGCCTTTATCTCCTCTCATCTAGATTCTTCACGTGTTAACAAAAAAGCCCTTCAAGTGCAGCCTGTGACGTTCTAATCTAGTCAACTTCCAACGTCTCTCGGCTCTGCGGCATGTCCTTCTGAGACTAAATGTTCGGATTAATCCAAGGACTTTTCCTCTTGTTAGATAAAACAACCTTCTTAACAGGTGCTACTATATCTGAGATACTCCAGCATTGCTAGTTCAGTTATTGGATGAACAAGCTTTGATCAGCTGCTGTCATAATCTAGAAAGTCCATCCACTGCTGACTGATTAATGACACGTCTCTTTGATTTTAGGTTGAGGGACAGATTCAACATTAGATAGGACATTAAAGAAAATGCAGCTGTGGCCACTCACATGAACCTCTTCAACATGTAAATGATGATTTTTAGTCCCAAGGAGAAAGCAAGATCTAGCGTGTGGCCCGTTTTGTGTGTGGGGCCTGAAACATCGGCGTCATAGTCTTCTGGAGCCCTTCCCAGTTTGTTTTTTGTGATTCAAAAATGTTGGAAAGGAGAGAGCTTTGGGAGACGTAGGAGACCAGCAGAGACATTGTCAGTTTCCAGTTACGTGACAACACCATCAATTAGAAACATCTTGCATGTGCTGCTGACACAGATTCCTTGTGATTCTGGTGTAGGTTTAATTTTTGACTTGGAGTGAAACACTGGTCCGTGTTTAACTGCTTAATAAAAACATGTCTGACTCATTTGTAGGAGAATTTCTGAGAATCACGTTTTAGCTTGAGAATAAAACCTGACTGGAAGCTGATCAAATTAGAATGAAGGTAGACGAGGGTGAAGACGGTGGTAATACGTCTGCAGCTTCTGGATCCTGAGGGACATTTTAAACTCCATATTCAGTTTGAAGTTGGCTGCTGGATAGCAGTAAACCCTTCCGATGTCCGGAAAACACCCGATTGCAGCATCTAGTGATTTCATGGAGCCTTTGGAGTTTGTTGATTTATGTTTTCATTCTGCGAAGGGAAGCTTGTAACAGAATAATAAATCTGCAACCACCACACCCAGGATTATTAACTGTTGCTATCTCACTCCTCTGTCCCGACTGTTTGAGGGTGGTACTGGCGTGCAGTGCTGTTCTCTAATCCAGTGTCTTGATGTGTTTGGGTTTGCCGCTGTGTTTTTGGCTCTGAACAATTTTCCCAGCTAGTTCCTGGATGGGTCTCACTTAACTTCAAACACTCCTGCTGTGAAAGACAGCAGTCTTCAAGGCAGCATGACTCATGGCCTTTATTTCATGACCCACCCGGACCTCCTGAGTTCGCTCAACCACCCACTGCGGCCCGCCTAATCTCACATCCACACTTTCCTTTTATGGTTCTGTGTTGTTGGTCTTTACTGAAGAAGAAGAAACGAGAGGAGAACGCACCAACAGGCAGAAACGGTATTCAGATCTGCTTCTGGCCACCAGCAGGCATCTGTTTCACTACGTTGTTGAAACAAGCTTCTCTTCTATCAGCAGGATGTGGTTAATAAAACCATAGTGACCAGTGGTGTGTCTATGATTTAAGTCTCTGCCACAAAACCATTTAGTATGCAGTAGGGATGTGTATTGGTGAAAATCTGGCAATACAATATGTATTACGATACAGGGGAGACGATACAATATATCACGATATATTGCGATACATTCAGTCATACCATTTAGGTGATTTTTTTTGACTAAATTTATTATAGGAAAATTCAATAAACAGTCCAAACTGATACTTAACATGTTTAACCGTAACAGAGGGATTTGCATTTCAATGGTAGAAACAAAACCCATTGCACACTGCTGCCAACTAGTGGTCAGTGTTTGAATTGCACCACAAGAAAAGAAAATACACAAATGTTTCCATGTAAGATCTTCCAAAAATTAGATACACGACTTTTGAATATCAATACATTTCTGCAAGATATCGATATTTTCGATACACAGCTTTTGATTATCGATATAATATCGCTGGGGGAAATATCACGATATATTGCCATAATCAACATTTTCTTACATCCCTAGGATGCAGCAGTTTCTTTTCTGGTGACTGGAAAAGGCCAGTGGTTCAGCTGAACAGGCACTGGGAAATCCTGTTGTTTTCGCTGGTAATTGAATGCATCATAACTGGAACCGTAGCTTGCTGCTGATTATACACGTGTTTACAGCTGACCTTTTACTTAAGGAGGCAGACCGTTACTGGCTGTAATATCTCACATGGGCAATATGGAAATGTGTGCAAGATTTTATGGACCCTAAGAGACGAAGACTGACCGACTGACGGATCGATTCAGCTCACTCATCTATGCTGTGGGGGACTGGTGTCCAGGTCTACCCCGGAATACCTATGAAACTAAATATTAATGTGTAACAAGACACTTAACACTTCAAAAAGAAAAGTCCAACATGATGATGCAAATAATCTTTATTCTAAGCACTGTTGGAGGTTTTGCCACTGACTGAAGTCTCCTCAGACCTTAAAACAATCTTTAACTGTACTAGTTAAACATAAACATGAACTAAATGATGTCTTTTGAATTGCTTATTTACTGTAAGTGCAATTCAATTCAAGTTTACTCATTTAGCTCCAAATCACTACAAGAGTCACCCGAAGGCCCGTCACACAGTAAACATCCCATACAGTTTAAGCCAATCAGTAACAAGTTTCCTATATAGGATTTCCTATAGGAGGATGGCTGTAAAGACACGGACACGAGTCAGTGACTCGATGCAACCTGCTGGGTTCCTTATACAGGAAACTTGTTACTGACTGGCTTCATGACCCGGCCTGACCTGTGTTGTTTACTGTGTGCAGGACCTTGAGACGACTCTGGTCCTGACTTGGCGCTTTATAAAAAAACTGAATTGAATTAAACCCAGCAGGTTCCATCGAGTCTCTGACTAGTGTCCGTGTCTTTACAACAATCCTCATTCTAAGCAAGCATGATGTTTTTATTTTTTAACAAAAGCTTATTTTCATTTTGATGGTCTACTCTGGTAGATTTCCTTTTCAACCATCATCCAGTCAAGTCATCAAATGGCCCTTAAACACCACCAGCATCGGCTCCGCTCTGCCTGGACCGGGCCTAGAGTGTTCTCATATAGGTAGCCTTGGATTTTCCCGCGTGCAACCGGGCAAAACTATGTCACCAGGTTACAGCATTAACGGCAATTAACCGGTTAACTATGTACATCCCTACTTAAACGTGTTAAACTCTCTAGTGTTGCTTTAGTGTTTTACTCCAGTGCACACACGTCCGTTTTAATGTGGTGAATTATTTCCTTTTACCGACTTGTTTGGGGGTCTAGAGAATAATTATGTAAAATGACTTTTTCTAGATCTCAGACTAAAATCATTTATTTGCTTATAAGATGAATAAAGTAACTGTGTTGAGATGTCCCTCGCAGTGAAAATCTGTGCCGACATCAGAGGGTCATCTTGCTTATGTAAAGCTAAACTTTATTGTCATTTTTGTCCTTTTCTTTCTTCCCGTCTGCAGATCTGATGCCCAGGTGTTGCTATCACAGCCACCATCATGTTCTCTAAGAAGAAAAAAACTCAGATCAAGATCTCTGCTCCGTCTAACTTTGAGCATCGGGTTCACACGGATTTTGATGAGCAGGAGCAGAAGTTTGTTGGGTTGCCACAGCAATGGCAGTCACTCATCGAAGACACGGCCAAGCGGCCCAAACCTTTCATCGATGCGACAGTCACTACTAATGTTGAACCACGAAAGGTGGGAGGTGCTAAAGATAAATTAAACCAGTACTCAACTACTTTGGATGTTTTTATGGCAGCAGCTGAAGTTTCTGGTATTTGCCTCTAAATGTTGTTCCTGAAATTTCCAGACGATCGTGCGCGGCAGCAAGCTGGGAGCAGACGGCTCTTTAACATGGCTCCTGGATGAGTTTGACAACATGTCTGTGATTCGTTCAAACTCCCTGCAGAGACACAGCCCTCCTGTTCCACTCCGTAGGGACTCGAGCTCTTCGGGTGGAGGCGGGCAGGAGAACGGAGACCCCCACCACAGACACTACTCTCATCCAGACAGGTACCGGTCAGAACCCGGGGCCTAGCCTGATGGATGTTTGTTGGGAATTAGGAGAATTTAAGGTCAGCTTTCCTTCGTGAAACCCTTTGAATGCATCAATCTTATTCTCAGGGACCGACACAGGCAAGACCACCAGCCTAGAGGTGACCCTCGCCAGAGTCAGCGAGCAGTCCACCCCTCTCAGAGAGATGAGGTCCAGGGTCGGCCCCAGCAGCAGCCTCGGGGCCAGGAGCCCTATAAAGCCCACGGGAACAGAACTGGTCCAGGCCATCCTCCAGGCCTTCACAGAGATCATCGAGACCAGGTGAGGGGCTTTGGTTTTATTTTGCCGTAACGATGCATGCTCATGATCTGGTACATGAAAGTTTGGTCGGCTTTCCCATCAATCGTTTAATCTCTCCAGGATCAGGTGGTTCGCAGGGACCTGGCTGGGGAGCACAGGCCAAAGTCCAGCTATGTGGCACGAGACGGCAGTCCTCAGTCTCCTAGGGACAAGCGGCCCCTCTCAGGGCCGAACATTCGAACCCCGAACCTGCCGATAACCGAGGGGGTGATGAAGACGGCCCAGCAGAACACGCGCCCATTTAATACGTACCCGAGGACAGACAGCGACTGTGGACGCAGTCCCACGGGACAGGTAGGACAAACGGACATAGACGGGTGCTCTGAAGGACAAAGTTGGTCCTGCTTTTTAAATCAGAGTCCTCTTTTTATTTTATGTTGTAGATCGGGTCAACGTGACCAATTTACAACATTTTATTAACTAATATTTATTATTTATATATATTATTAATTTTAAAAAATCCCATCTCCCCCTCCGCGGGTGGTCTCATCCATCCGAGCTCGGGTCCTCTACCAGAGGCCTGGGAGCTTGAGGGTTCTGCAGGATCTCAGCTGATCCTAGAGCTGCTCTTTTCTGGACTGAGATGTCTGATGTTTTTCTGGGACCTGCTTTAGCCGCTCCTCCAGTCTGGGGGTCACTGCCCCGAGTGCCCCGATGGCCACTGGCACCACAGATGTCACTCTCCAGGCTTTCTCAAACTCTTCTCTGAGGACCTGCTACTTCACTAGTTTCTCGTGTTTCTTTTTCCTGATGTTACATCACATGGTACCGCCACATCAACCACGACATCTGTCCTCTGTTGTTTGTCCACTATCACAATGTCTGGTTGGTTCTCCATCACCTTGTTGTCAGTCTGGATCTGGAAGTCCCACAGGACCTTGGCTCTGTCGTTCTCAACCACCTTAGGGGGCATTACCCACTTTGACCTTGGGGCTTCCAGTCCATGCTGCAGATGTTTCTACACGATGCCAGCCACTTGGTTGTCGTTCAATGGATGCTTTACATTTTTACTGACAATTTATGAAAAGTAGCCACGTACAAAACATTACAAAGGTATTCAATAAAATGTAATATTCCATAAAAATATGGATTGTCAATATTATTGAGCCTCTGATATTGGATTGCTGATGAAACTAGGTACTTTGGTTAATCCAGGGAAATAACACTTTATAATAATTTGACACAGAGACAAAAATATAGTTTAAAACATCTATTTATTACTATATCAGTCATGATGAAAGGCAAATGATTATAAATGGTGATTCAAAGTGATGTTAAACGAGACAATGAATGAATTTTCTGCAAGACTGAAAGTGTCTTCTCGAGCACAAAATCCTAGATACCTGATAACAGTTCCTTATCAGCCTATTTCAACTCAACGTCCTCCAGTTACATCAATGAAGACGGCTTGGTTAAATGTTAGATCTGTCAGTAATAAGCCATTTCTGGTAAATGATCTCGTCACCTCTCACAGTCTTTATTTATTTATTTTTTATATTTTTTACCGTGTCCTGTCTGGCTGTGAAACAAACAGAATTGATGTCTGAATGCTGGTGACAAGCCTTACAGATTTACTCTCAGGTGGAGCATCAAAGCTTCTGCTTTTAATGTCACGCCTGATACTTAAAACTTTATTATTGTTTTTTGAATGCTTTTAATTCCGACCAGACACGGAGACAGAGGTGAAAGAGAAAGGAAGAGACCAAAGGGTCATCAATGATGAACAAGAGTGTGCTTCTAGACGTGCAGAAGGAGAAAAAAAGAAAAGGGACACACAACAATACAACAGGAGCAAACTATCACTGCGTCAACCTGATGAGGAAATATAAAAACAATGTTTTACTGAACAATCACACGATAATGAATCACAGTGCATTTAGTGCCCACCATAGCCTTAAGACATGTGTTGAACGTGCCCAAGTCCATACTTATGAGTAGGGCCCGACCGATATATCGGCCGATATAGGGGTCATTAACACTATCGGCCAAAAAGACGGCCGATATTGCGCTACCTATCCAGCAGATGGCGCCAGCTTTATGAACTCATGTTGTGTGGCTCCTCGGGGGTGGAGCCACCATCACAGCACACATGCAGCGGAGCAGCAGAAGCAATTCAGTGAAGCAGAGACGACGGTGATGAGGAAGTAGGAGGTAAATCTTCCGTTTTAAGCATATTTTTTGTGTCTGTGGTAAGTTGAACGGTAAAATAAGCAATGACAAAAGTATGTTTCCCCTCAACATGCTTCCTAAGTTTATTGTGTGCCTCGTGGCCTCGTATTGAAAAGTTAACCTGAAAAAATAAAATAAAACTGCCGCAGCTCTATGCAGAGCTCACGCTGCTTCCCCTTTAGTCATGCAGGGCAGTAAGTAAGTAACATTGGCCTTTTTCTGGTAGACATTCTGGAATATTCTCAGACAATTTCCTCCGCTCTTCAGCAGTCTTTTCAAACTCACACGGTTCACCCGCGGCTCGCGAAAAAAATAGTGCAGACGCCGAAACGATCGCCCATGTGGCCTATAGAATAGGATAACAAGGGCGACGAATGAAGGCGGTACCCGTTTCGCAGCGCTTCGGCGACACACGACCGTTGTCGCAGCTGAGGACAGGCGAGGGGGGGTTGGCAACAAAGCAATGAAACGCTGTGCAGGGAGTCCCCCCTCCTCCCCCTAGCTTGGAGAGGAGTAGGGGCGGTAATACGAGAAAATAAACATTCCTCTCTACAGTAGAATAAATCTATTGTATTTTTTCAGCCTTATATTTTACATAAGGCTTATACATTGCCACATACTAGTCATTTAGCGTACCGTAAATCCTCTAATACAGGCCCGGGCCTGTATTTGACTCAAGCTCATCAAGCTCCAGGCCTTTATTGGAAGGAGGACCAGAATTAGAGGCAGGCCTCAATTTCTATTTGAGCAAAATGAACTAATGGTTTGCTGGAGTTTTTGACAATTAAAATTGCGCCCACATTTTCAAAGTTAAACACATTTCTTTTAACAACGGTAGTTTCTGCTTCAGCCATCTCCCCCCTCCCCCTGCTTCAGCCCTCTCCCCCCTCCCCCTGCGCAGCGGCCGCAAACTCACTGATGGGCCTGCAGCCTCTCGGAGTTCCTGCTGCTCTAAACATTAAAATACTTATTTCATTTTCTGTTCCTCACTTCTGATTACCTTCAATGGTGTCTGTTTGTTGCAACCAGCAGGTACAAAAACTAACTTGTTTTTATTTGACTATTTTTCTGTCCTGTCTGTTTATTATCTTCCTGCATCTCCTCTCAATCCTAAAGAAAAACTGCTACCTGGGTTCATATATATTCACCTCATGAGTTACCTTTGAACTGCAGTTCTAAAAGATCTACCGACCGCAAAAACAGTGGAGTGCGCGCTGCTTGGCGGCCGCGCATCACGGAGGACAAAACAGGTGATGCGCCCCGCTCCACAGCAGCGAAACGCATCAGGCGCAAATAAAAGAATAAAAGACAGAAAACATAAAAGGAAATGAGCCGACATGAACGATCGCGTGTTAAATTGGTTTTTGAGGTGGCGACACCTGATTTGATAATGTTACTGTGGCCGTGCTCAGGACGCAGATGTCTGGAGCGCGTCAACAATCAGAGCTTTGCATGCGCACGCTGGTTAAGGTTAGGATGGGGTGAGGGGAAGGTTAAATTGCAAGAGGGTAAAGGTCACAATTTGGTTAAATGTCCGTTTTACGGCGGGTGTCAGTACCGACGCTCTGGCACAGCGCGTTGCTTCCCCGACGCACAGGAGCGTGTCACCTGCTGACAACAGGCTGCTGTCTTTTCCGAGGGCTGCATCTTGCCGGTCATTATCACGTGACAGCGACTAGTCGATGACAGGCATAACAAGTCACTATAGTGAAGTCGACTAGTTCATACAACCCCTACTGCTCCCCAGAGTGTTCTGCAGCATAATCAGCACGTTCTCTTTGAACTTGAATTTTCACCTCCTCTTCGTCTCCGCACCTGCCAAATCGCGGTCTATCACTGGCAAATCAAAAGTGAGACGGATGACACAACTGCCCCCTCGTGGTACTTGCTTGTTACCACATTCCACCCGGCCACAATAAAATACCGGCCATTATTCACCTCCGCCGACACCGGCCAAAATATGATACTCTGCAGTTAATTAAATACAGGCTAATATTAGAGGATTTACGGTATCTTATTTTTATTTTCCTAATACTGTCGGCTTTGGAAAGGATCAAAACACAAAAGTGTAAAACTCCACAGACTCTTGAAAACAAAAACCCTAACCCTAACCCTAGTGAGTTATTGAGACAGTTCTTTGGTGTGTAATATAGAAATAAGTTAGCATCAAAAAGGCAGAGAATGAAGGGTTTAATCTTAAGAACATTTATATTTATTTCTTTTTTTGTGAGGGAGATTTATCGGCCATTATATCGGCAATCAGCCTTTGTTAAAAGTTTTATATCGTATCGTATCGGTCCCAAAAAAAGCATATCAGTCGGGCCCTACTTATGAGAGCACCATGTGAGCACCTGTATGTACACGCGCTTGTCTATGTTAGGATTCTCTATAGGAGCGTCCAACAGATAGTGTGAGGGGCCACAGATCTGCCCCCTAAAGATGTGTAGGAGATGGAGGGAGCTCCAAGTCCCAGAGATCCAGGAGCTGCCCCAGAGTGCAGGAACTCCACGGAGACTGCGACCAGAAAAGCCCCCGCCCCCTCAAGAGGCGCAGAGGATTGCCCCGGGGGTCCACAACCAGCAGCCGGCAGAGACCCGGGGGATATCAGCGGCAAGCCCACAGGCCTGCCCGCAGCCTCCCACCCCCCAGCCGGCTGAGCCCGGAACCCAGCGACCCGGGACCCAGGGGCGACCAGCCCCGCCGGGGACCCAACACAGTCCAGGGATCCAGATCCCACCAGGCAGCCACCGGGATTAATCCGGCAGACGCTAAAAATCTTAAACCCCCTGACCCAAGAGCCACGAACACTCAGGCAGACCAAGGCACCACACTCCACACCAAATGTGACGGGGGAGGGCAGGCGAAGATGTATAGCAGCAAAAGAAGTCCCAGGAGAAGGGAGGAGTCAAAGGCCCCACCTGACATATACGGTCATACACAGACACAGTCACACACTCCCTCCCTCATGCTCACACACACACACACACATACAATCTTAGACTTACAAAAATGCATGCCAGACACCCACTCATGCTCCCCATACACACCCTATTCACTCTGGTCCCGGTACTGCTGCACATGGGGTACAACCATTACCGATTCCCAGAGTTCGACCCATTCTGCTG